TCCTGGTTGGCTCATTCCAACATACAGATAGTCTAGGTTTTTGGTCTCAGTTGATTTTCCTTTTTCTTGACAACATACTCTATTTTCCTGAATTTTTGTATCTCGGGTAATTTTGGATTACATCTTGAACATTATGACTATTAGGTTATGGAGACTATGAATTATACTGTTTTTCCTCTAAAGAGTATTATTTCTTTTATTTTTGCAAAAACTTATTTTGGTTGCATTTCACTTGCAAACTATTTGAACAATAATTCCAATGCTAACGGAGATCTGTTTTCTTTTTAATTGATTAATTAATTTTTATTGTTTAAAGTATTATATATGTTGAGATCTGCTTTCTTTAACTGAGCTGTTATGGATCTGCTGCACATGGGTATGGTTCAGGGATCAACCAAAGAGGTGAGCAGACAGAATTTGAGCATTTGCTGTATGTCTATTTGCATTTACCTGAGAGCCTCCTCTTTCTCAGATTCCCCTGGATTCAATAATCTGGTTTCTCAAACCGAGGAATCACTGGTTTTCCCATCACACTGACTGCAAAAACGGAAACTCATTCTACTTAATTTTCCTTCTCTGTGTGTGGATTCCCTATGAGAACCTGCATGTCTCTGTTTACTATAAAGGCCCTTTGTGTAGCTGCTTTTTGTGTGTTATGTCCAGAGCTTATAGTTGTAGTCTTTATGAAGGTCGGTCTAATAGGATCTTTTTCAGCCATTATCAGAAGCCAGTTCTTCATATTTCTTTAAAAAATGTTTATCTAGAAGACAAGTTTATTCAGACCATGAGCTCTTCATCTCTCCTCCACATATTTAAGTCCAATTAATCCTATAAGTCTAACTAGAAATTCAGTCTTCCATTGAGTTTTTTCCAGCTGCCTTGGATTCTCTCTCTCTCTCTCTCTCTCTCTCTCTCTCTCTCATCTCTTTTTTTTATACTTATTGAAGTTGTAGACAGTTTGACTTTTTTTTAAAGCAATGTAGAATCATTAAACCTCAGACATTTACTAGTAATCTTCAACTCAAATAGTTTTCTCTTAAACTCCTATTAAGTATAAACTTGTAACAACTAATATTCGAAAGCCATATTCTCATAGCTGCTTATTCTTTTAGCTCAAGAGGATCATGTGTAATAGTGGTAAGTTAATTGAATTTGGAGCCACAGGGCATAGTTTGAAGTTTACACTGTTATGCCTTAGATCTAGTAATTTTACCCCCGAGTCTCAATTTCTCCATCTGTAAAATAGGTATCCAAAAAATCCCCACTTCATAAAGAAGATATGATTGACAATACCATTAATCCAGTTACTCCAGCTCAAAAATAAATAAAAATCTTTTAAAATTGTTTCTCATATTCCATAGCCAATTTCCAAGTGTTGTATTAATTCACTCTTCTTAATTTCTTTTTCTTGTTGTCACTATGTAGTTCAGAAATTTGCATCTCTTTTGTATTCTACAGCAATAATTTCATAACTGGCTTCCTGCCTTTGGTTTTGCCTCTTCTCCTAATGCAATTCCCATGCTGCCATGGGGAGTGTTTTCTAAAAGACAAGTGTATTGCGCCACTTCCTTGCTGAAAGCCCTTCACTGGACCTGCCAAGGAGCCACGTCCAAATTTCATTGTCTGACACACAAGTCCCCTCATTATGTAACCCATTTTACTCATTTCTTACTAGTCCCCTACCTGCCTCCCAGGCCCCAGCTGACCTGAGCTACTTGCTTTTAATAACATTTTGCATGCTAGCGAGCTCATGCCTTTACATATGTTGCTTCTTTACTTGGAATGTCCTTCCTTGGAAATTTTTTTTTCTATTGTGCACAAAGGCATCTCATTGTCTAGGTATGATCTTACCCGAAAGATACTGTACACATGGCAAAAGGACCATGCCTCATAGTTGTTTTGATCCTTCGATAATGAGGTAATAGGGAAAGATAGGCACTCAAAGGATTGGTGAGTGAGAGGTCATTTATTGAATAATACAAAGCAATCTTGACTCAAGAACTAAATTCATAGTATATTATAAATGTGGTTTCAGGTTTGTATAACGGCTTCTATAAATTTCAGATTTTAAAATGGTAATGAAAAAATAATTCCAGAAGTTAAGAAAAGAACATTACCTAGATACACTATTTCAAATAGTAAAACTCTGGGAAATGAGCAAACACAGAATCTAAGTCATATGTAATAAAGTCCCATTGGCTCTTAAATGAATAAAACGTCTTAGGAAGTATGGTAGCATTGCTTTATGAACACATTTAGGGCTAATTTAAGTCCATTCCAAACATTATCTCAAAAAAGTGGGGCCTATGTCCTGTAATTATGGCTTTAATGTATTTTAAGTAAGATATGCATTTTTAAGAAATGTCTTCAAGAACATCTCAGCAAATTCCTAGGCCTTTATGTTCAATCGTTGGCTGAAGTTAGAGGGAGTCTATAATCATGCCCTCAAGATTGCTATTAGTGAGTCAAATTGACTTCATTCATTCATTCACTCATTCAACTATGTATAGAGAACCACAATGAATCAGCCGAACTTCTAGGCGTCTAGGTGCTTGGCATACAGTGGTAAACACAACAGACTAAGTCTTTCATTTCCTGGCACTTACCTTCTGGTGAGGAGAAGCATATAATAAAAAATTAATATAATCAGGTTATAATAAGAACTCTGGAGCAAACATAAGAGTTAAGGAGAGAAAGTGAAGGGGAGGAGAATGCTATTTTAGAGAGTAGTCAGTGAAGACATCTTTTGAAGGAGACATCTAAGCAGAAACTTGTGTGAAAGCAGGAGGGAGTCCTACCTGCCTAGGCAGAAGGAATGGTAAATGCAAAGGTCCTGGGAAAATGTGGTACTGAATTCTTTCTAAGAAGAAGGAATGATATGTCATATTTAAGATTGTTTGAAAAATCAGATCACATATGTTGGAACCTGGATTTCTTTATTTATTGTTATTAAAAGTAACACTTCAGGGAAACCACAATCTAAGTGTTGATTATTTCAAAATTCCTTCTTTTCCCGGAATTTTACAGATTAAAGAGTGTGTTGAGGAAAAAAAAAAAAAAGAACACTTTTCTAGACCAAGTGTCACTGAAATACCCTAGCGGTTTCCTATTGGTGGATATTTGTTGTTGTTTTGATTATTACACATTGCAATAAATTAATTTAATGGCCCGGTCCCCCAACTCACTTATTTAAAAATTCACACAGAGAAGCTTGTAGGTGTAGGAAGTGGATGGGTGAAACAACGTGGTGTATAGCGAGTCACACCCGTCCTAAAAGCCAGCACCGATTAGCTAGGATGAATTTTTAACAATCACCCATCCAGCGGCAGCAGATGTGGGCGCAGCCAGAGGGAAGAGGCCAAAGGCCGCGGCGCTGCGTTTATACTACCCCAACCAACGGGACTAAAACAGGCGCTACAGTCGGAGCTTCTCCTGCCTCCAGCTGGTGGAAACCACAAATGCGGGGCGGTGGAGGGGGAGTTTGTGCCAAGAGATGTACCAAGCGGAAAAAAAGAAAACACCACACACACAAAACACCCCGAAGAGGCGCAGTTGAGGGCTGTTGCCTCCAACTCCACGTTCTCCGTCTCCGAGACGAAGGCGCCTGGAAAGGGAGCACGACGACGCCGAGAACCGAGAAACTCCTGGCGTCCGAGGCCTCGCGGCTCGGCGGCGGCGCCG